TAGTAGCGTCCTTGCTCCTAGTAGTAAGGCCAGGAGCCCCTAGTAGCATCCTTGCTCCTAGTAGCGATTTTTCTTGGCATATCTCACTTCATCACCTGAAGTTCCAGGTGCCCCGATTCTTCGAGAAGTTCCAGGGGGACGCTTCTCGACTCGCTTTCCAGGCGCTTTCGGCTCGCTGATAGGCTCGTTCCATCTGTCACAAAGGTCCTTATGTCTTCAGACATGCAGATAGGCTATGATACGCTTGGAAATTACAGAATTGTTTCAAATCGAAAAAGACCTGGTCAGAGTTGATGCTTCTGACTTTGCATGCTCTTTGTCAGGAAGGAAACTGAAACTGTTTTCTCAGGAACGTAGCAATTGCAAATACAATCAATAAGCCCGATGTCTTTGACTATTCCTTGATTTGACACTGTTTGCAGGGTGGTTTTGACAGTCATGGGATTGGCACTGGCGCAGGAGGGCGTAGAGCATTTCAAAAAGCATCTCATTCAGAGAGTCCCAGCCTTGGAACGACAGTCGGTTTGGTTGTAGAAAGTCTCAGCGAGCATTTCCTTCCAGTCTCAGCGAGCTCTTGGACTGATCAATGATACGTATCATGACTTTGACCCTTCTTTGATACCCGTGCTTCAGGCAATCGTCAAAAAGCAAGAGGAGGAGCCACGTCGTTTGTATCTCCCGCTCAAACGTTCCGACCCAACATGTTCTGCGCCGGTCACCAGGAGGCAGAAGCTGCAAACAAGCCAGAAGCGGAGATGGAGGAGGCAATGAAGTGAATAGAGCTTTGAGGTTTCTGGAGATTTGTGGAGCTTTGAGAGTTATTCTTTCTCCGAAGCTTTGAGGTTCCCTTTCATGGATTTGGGTTTGAAACGCCTAAAGACAGCCTCATTTGTAAGTCCTTCACACATGGAACTTGGTAGATGCAACAACTATGTTTGTTTGCCACAGATGCGACTTGTTTAATTGCTGTATACAACTGGCCTGTCACTGACCAGCCTGCGAGTATTCTAGCCTTTCTGCATGTTTTCTTCAGGAGATGCAGCCAGTGTCCCTGGTGGAAGTTCATCCCCAAGAAAACTGTAACGATTTCGTGATTTTTGCTGATAAATCCTGGTACTGAGTAGCGTGTCTTCATGCTTTCGTGTCTGATTTTGCTTTGCGCTTGTCACCGAAAGATGACACCGAAACATGTCTTACTGTTCATAGAGTTGCCCTCTAATGTATATGCTGTATCCTTACTACTTTGCAGAGGTAAGATGGATGCGGTCTGGTACCTTTTAAGTCACCTTAGAGAATTTCATGTTTTCTCTCCAGAACTGACGCCCACGCATCGAAGATGTCGAACATGAGCTAAAAATTGGACACTTAGGCCATGTACAGCATGTCCAAAGAGGAGAGGATGGGGCCAGGCCGTGGTACGTACCGCATTTTTTACAAGCGGCAATGAATCTCAAAGAAATGGAACTGCTGGATGAGCAGAATGGCGGGTCAAACTTTTGTTCTGTGTGACCCTCCGAGTATCGGAGAAACCAGAAGTCTCACAGTTTAGTTCATCAATAGCGATGGCCTCCAACCTACTAGCTACTAAGAATAGCGTCCGATCGCTCCGTTCGTAGCGATGCCAGGAGCCCCGAGTAGCTTCTTGCTCCTAGTAGTAAGGCCAGGAGCCCCTAATAGCTTCTTGTTCCTACTAGCGATGGCCTCCAACCTAATATATGCAGCTTCCTTGAGACCGGAAGCAGCTTGCACTGCCGACCACCAAGAAGCCTTCGAAGAGTTTTCTTGAGTTGAGATCGCAGAGTTGTCCATGTCCTGAAACCTTCATTTCTGATCCAAAACGATTCTCCTTGCTGGGTTCGCCCGTTTTTTCAGACAGTCCTAGTCAAGATCATCTAGGTTTACGTGGCTTTTCTAGTGAACCAATACTTCCAACGTCTTTGCTGCAGGTGGTCTTGACCCTGTGGAGGTCTTCGAATCGTTGCCAGCTGAATTGCAGGAATGCCTCCAGGTCGCAGCAAGCAGGGTCAATCTACATGCGATTCAACCCAGGAAGTGCTTCCCCCGTCTAGTTGCCAATCTTTGTTGATGATCCGCACGCCAAACCATTGGTTTCTGAAACGGTCCTTGACCCGCAACCAAACAGGTATTCGGTGGGCTGTAAAGTGCCCTTCCTGTTCTTGACACATGAGAAAGGGCCGTAGACAACATTTCCCAACTTGAACAACAATGTCCCTCGAGTCTGTGATTGAATTTATATAGATACTGTAGAAACCCAACACACTCCACTTGGTAATTTGTTGATATTTGTTGTGGCTCGTTTGAGGGCTTTCTGTTTTTTGCATCTTCCCGGCTCCATATTTGTGGCTGGGTGGGTGTGCATCGACCAAGTAGGGATTTCTGGGCCCGCTTGTCTCGTGCGGAGTGACATTTTAGTTTTGTGACCAAGTGCCATCTCGCTCTCAGGCTTCAAGTCTGGCGATGTTGAGATGCTGAAGCAGGTGCGGGCTTAGCGATTTGAGACTCACTCACTTTAGAATATATACCCCTTCCTGAGGACTTTTGATTGGTTTCATTTGGACAACACAACTGTGTTCGAGCCATTGTGCAAACAGGAATTTCTAAGAGATCAAACGCCTGCACAGTCTTTGCCTTGCATATCTTTGAACCAAAAACAATCCCAAACACAGCCATACATCACGGGATCCTCAGTCGACAGGTTTCCTCTGTCGACAGGTCGCGCAGCAGATGGAACCCAAAGAATTCGAGCATCATTTCCAGCGGTGTATTGATGCAGGCGACCGGCGACCCGAGGGTCACCCCGGTGCGAACAGCGAACATGCAGTGATATCCAAGCTGCCAAGTGAATAGTGTGAATATCCGGAAGGTTATACAAGTTATATGCATAAATCAAAAATCAATCCAACCAAACGATCCATTCAATCGATGGCTATACGAAGAATTAATGCAACATGCGAGAATGAGAATCTATTTTCGAGTGATTTGTGCAGGAAGGACCTGCACTTTGTTTCTACTCCAAAGGATTGGTGGAAGATCTTGTACGGAGTTCCTTACGTTTGCTGCCCGTTGCCAAGCCTCTATAACCACGATGACTTCGGTGTGTAATTTCAGCGAGACTAAGATTGGCAGAGGCGGCTTATTGATTTGGGTGTGGAGAAAACTTGAACTCTGGACACAGCTGGACATCTCAGACTTGTTTGAGTTCAAACTGGAAGCACGATGTTTGAGAGATTTGTTACGCTCATCAGCTTCACTTGACCCAGTTGTAGAAAGCTAGGAATGAGGGCACTGCCACCGTCCATTCCAGTTTCACTCAGGGTCAGAAAGTATTTAGTATAGGCCTCGCAGAAGCAGGCGATGAAGTGTAAGTCGTGCACATCCTATAAAGCCTGCAAGGCCTCCCACTCACTCTCATGACCAACGATTTTGTCAAAGTTGCCTCATTGATTGGGTCTTCTTCTTGACGATGTGGAGTTGTGAACCACAGAGCTGCATGAGGCTTTGTCGAGGATCCCTTCAGCAAATCCGATTTTCCCTGGTTAGAGTTAGATTCTGATGTTTTCACGGGCAACCTTAAAGGCAGCTCTATCTCTATGAGAACGTTGGGATGCCCTATTTGAATTCCTCTCCAGGTCTGTGGAGCAAAGCCTGAGCGATTCAGGAGTACAGAGTCGCGGCGTGCAGGGAGGCCCGTGACCGATTCCAACAGTTGTTGCTTCGCGAAGCAAGGAGGATAATTATTGTTAGATATTGTTAGTAATATTTACCAGGCCCCCTTTATTTGGCAAGGACTTGTCCTTTGCTGGGTACCCCAGCTGCAGACATTGCTGTGAAAAGCATATGCTGGTGCTCAGGCTGGCTAGTTCGTAGCACGTTGAGTTGAACGGTCAAACACCTCGTGTCGGGTGGCTACGAACCAAACAACCAGCAGACGCTGGCCTCTGAATTGCTGAACTTAGATCTTATGCATGATCAATCAGGTAGGGAAGGGGATTTGTCTTGAACCTTTGCATTCCCGGGGAGCGCTTGGTAAACCATAACTGGTGCAGTGTCATTATGTGTATATGTCGCATGATCTAGATTGGGTGTTAAATCCGCGCGGTTTTCCAGCACGGGCCCGGACAACAGTGTTGGCAGCGCTGTCTCCAGCGCCACATAGAGCGGCAACAAGACCGCGGTGTTTCACCTGCCCCATGAGCAGGGAAAGCTTATCGATGTTTTTCTATCGAAATGATCTCTTCACATAAGCTTTCCCAAGTTCAAGAAAGACCATTTCCGCAACAAAACATTAAGAGATGAACACTTACATTCAACTGGCGATATCATTTAGCCACTTGAGTGAACAAAAGGCCTGATCAGATCTCAGATCTGGACAATGGCCAGACATTTTTATGCAAGACATATCCTTTTAATGACGATGGGCCGATGGGAGGATATTTGCCCCTTTAGTTGCGATTCCCCGCTACCAAATTGGGGAAAAATACCTACAACATTTTGCAGTATATCTATTTATACAGAGATTTGGATATATGTATAAATATATATGTATATACCTGGAACCCAATTGACCCCTGTTTTGATAGGAAAAGGCCATATTTTGGGTGGTTGGTGGTCCAAAAAATAGAGGTCATTCAGGTTCTAGGTATATATATATAAATTCAATCTGCCGTTCGACAGGTGGACAAACACGCAAGCTTTTCGGACCTTGAGCCACGTCGAGTGGCAAGATTAGAAGCCAGGTTGCAGTTTTCCTTTCTGAAAAGGGTTGTTGTGCTATGTGCCAACTCTACTTGTACTGGAATCAACTGACCTCTTTCACTCTCAGCAGCCATGCGGAGGGGATGAGTGGTCGCCCCATCAAGCAAAGCCACTTCCTCTCCCATTCCCTGCACTGGGTGAATCACTTGTTTGATCTTGCATGCTTTCAAGGAACGAAGCGATTTCAGCAAGCTAGTCGCCTCGGTGATGAGTGCAGCGGTTAAGTACTCACTCAGGTCCTTGATGGATGAAAGCTCTGGTCTCTAATCTACCATTAATTTGTGATGGATAATTGAAATTATATGTTACTTGACCCCCTCCAAGCCGAGACCAAGAATCCACCATCTTTCCAAGCACTTGCATCATGATGACTGGATCTGGAAGGGTCAGGTTCAATTCCTCTGCCTGTTGGAGCCAACGACGCCATTGCCTCATGGTAGCCAATAAGTCCGCGATGTTGTTGTTCAGCTTGACATCCGGGATATTTTTAAGCAAAGTCGTGCGCTCCGCTCCCCCACCCGGTCGAAAAACGACGTGAAATCGAAACAAGGTGCTTTAACCCGTGGATGGGTTCCTGGCTGAGATAATGTCCCTCCTCAATTATTCAGGAAGGACGCTGAGAAGCATTGCCACCCCTCTTTGTTCCACACGCTGGTGAAGAGAATCCACAACTGCCTTAGCTGGCCGGAGACGAAGACGCTCTAATGCTGAAGCAACCAACCACTGCTCGTGCAGGCGCGAGCTGTCTCCATTGCCACATCCAGCGGTGGAAGGGTCAGCTTTACTCTTTGGGCCCTGGGGATTGGTTGATCTTGGCCTATTTGTCGTCGACCTCGCAGCTTTGGTGGGATGGCTGTTTGGCAGCTATGCTACGCACCGTCTCGGGCACCACCGCCGGCATTGATTGGGCCGCCTGCAGGAATTCCGCCTGCAGGAAGAACAGGAGGATAGTCCACCTTCACTGTACCAGACTCAATTGCTGTTCTCCGCATAGGTGGCTTTGGTCCCAATCGTCCACGATGACCTGAGCCTGCATGAAGCTTCCGTTCAGCTTCAAGACCAGGTTGGTGGCCAATCCCCCTTGTAGGTTCCCTACCTGCACTTGTGACCGACTCAAACGACGATGATTCTCCACCGCCAATCACTCTCTTGATCTCCTTGACAAAGATCTCCTTAGCCTCCCTGAGAGTTCTTTCTCTGATAGCTTCCACCTCTTGGTGTATTGAACATCTCCTGGAGGATGCAATTCTGTCTCTGACCTACTTCCTATGGCCGCTCGCTAAACCGGAATATTCCAGAAAGGGGTTCACCTCTATTCCCCTCACTTGCGGGGGAATTGACATCGAATAAGGATCAAGGACCCTCGGCTGAGAATCCGCATCCAATCCAGCTTCACGCGAGGTTCCAGACCCGCGAAAATCACTACGAGGAGGATGAGGATATTGAGGTGACGTTCCCATTCCCATATAATCCCCATGAAGCGTGTAACCATTACCTCTAAGGTATCATAGATCGTATTGTTGAGGGGCTAATAAAGTTTGCCCTTGCGTAGTATGACTAAAGGACCTCTAAAGAACCTCTAATGATTATTTGACCGATTCTGGCAAAATTGGAATCGCATTCGACATGCTTTGACGATTACTTATCCCTTTTCTATGGTTGGAATCTTGGTTTTGTTTTGTTATTGAGGACACCGATGTCGCTTGAATCGATTGATTCGGTATCGTCGCTGCTAGTCGCCGAATCGTTGTAATTCGTGACGGCATCGAATTTGCACGGAGATTATAATTGTAAGGGCTTCGCCCGGGTGTCGCCGACCCCCTTTTAGGAGGAGTGTGGCACGTGTAACTATAGGCATTTGTGTAGTTCCGGTGGCGGCCCGTCTATAATTGCAATGCACGGGTTATACGTTCTAGAATCTCCTTCCGCAGGCTCCCGCCTGAGACAGGCAAGGTTGCGATGCAGGAATAGGCCAAAGGCGTTGGGAAGGGTTTGAAGCCGGGCTAAAATGCCTAACGTTTCTTTCGGAAGCCTATAAGAATAGAAAAGGCAGGCCTGGAATAGGCGAAGAGAAGACGCAGGCCTAGGTCTGTCAGCTGCCGAGAACGGTTTGGTGGCGGTCCAAAATGCCTAACGTTGCTTGCTGGCCTGCCTGCCAGCTGCCGAGAAGGGTGTGAGGGCTGCCGAGGTGGCAGGTTCCGGAGGCTCAGTTCTAAGGCTGCAGTCCACGGGTTGCACGTTCTAGAGACTCCCTCCCGAGGCTCTCGCCTGACGTAGGCAAGACTGCGATGCCGGAGTAGGCCAAAGGCGCTGGGAAGGGTTTGAAGGCGGACCAAAATTCCTAACGTTGTTTTCGGAAGCCCATAAGAATAGAAGAGGTAGGCCTG